GCGTTTGTTTACAATATTTTAATTTTACATTTTAATTTTAAATTTCAATTTAATTAAATGTAAAATTTAAGATAAACTAAATATTTTTATTTAATAATATATGTATGTATATATTTAAAATTATAATCTTGGAAATATTTTTATTTGTATCTTTTGGGGAATATATATATTAAAACAATTTCTATAAAATTAAGAGAAAATTTTGATAGAAACAAAAAAGAAACTAATGATAATAAGATTTTTTTTTAAATTATATTTTTTTTTAAAAATGCACTAATTTTTTAAAGTTTGTTTTTGTAATAAAACTTATAAAATTATAAGATTAGAATTAAATAATAATTTGAAAATTAGAAAATGTTATATTCTATTTATTCTATTAGTTATTGCTATATTAATGATGATTTATTACTTTTTTTTGAACAAACCAAATTCTCATTTCACAGTAGTGTTTACTCTCCAGTAATGGAGCTTAATACAAATCCGATGAGAGCAGATTCTGCCACCAAATCTGCCTCAGCGATGATTTATTACTATATATTGAAAATTCTACTAAAATATATAAAAATAATTAATGTAAATATTTATGTCACAATTAACTTCAAACCATGTCATCATTATTAATATGTCATTTCATCTTTTTTTTCTTTCAAAATCAATATAGTAATGAAACATGACAAATCGTTTATTTGTCTAGGAGATTTGTTATATATTATTAAGTTTGATACCATTGGTTATAACAATCCACTCATAACATGAAATTTGAAAGTATATCTCAGTCTTCAAGTTCCAAGGCCATTTCTTTTCAGCTTGGCCTTTGCAATTACTAACTACAATAACAATGTTCGGAAATCTGAACGAAGGATGAAATTTAAAACTTTATGGACCGAAATATCATGTGGAATACAATTTTTAAAACATCAAAAAGGACAAGACCTTATCTCCTTTTCTTGGTCAGATCAGTAACCTGAATAAGGTTTATTATCATCATTAAACTATCAGTCTGAGTATCATCTCATGTGCATAGTTGATATAAACTGTAAAGTTACAAGAATCACCTGAAAAAACTATATTATATGAACCAATAGGTGTTTATAGCATAATATATAAGTAGTGCATATGTTTAATGAACATAGATCTACATTGAACAACATAGATCTGCTATAATTGTGCATGTTTACATAGATCTGCTATTGAACAACTGGTAGTCAGTATGGGTGTACTATTTATTAAACACAGAAAAAAACCTTTACAAAGCAATTACTTTGGTCTTTAATTTTTTTTGTTCAAAAGAAAAGAAATTTATGGTCAAAATTTAGGCCATCTGTAAAACCTGTAACTGTATTCTGATTGGCAACTAGTTTCTGAATTATAGCTTCTATACATTTGTTAGATATACTCGTTGCTAAACATTTACTTTTAAGAATGGTTCTTACACTAAAGTAAAGCTCACAAAGTATAAATATAAGGGACGAACCAATATAAACAAAGAATGATAGCTGTAGATAAAAAAAATTTTGGACTTCAAGTATCTTGAAAGCTTAAGCTTGAAACTTAAAGAGTTAAACCTCGTCGAACTAAACATAATACTGTAATGCGTATTATTGATAAAATCGAAACGATTCGTTGATGATTAAGACTTGGCGTTGATAAAACTAAAACTTTTTTTTTTATCTTAAGACGACGATAATTGGGGATTTCGTCACTTGAAAGCATTTTTAGATTCGTTGTTGATTAAAAAAAGAGAGCAAAATCTGAAGTTGAGTTTGAGATTCGAGATGTGTTGGTTCGAAGCAGTCGACTCCACGTGGTCCTTATGGATCCTTATTTACCATGTTGTCTATTTAGGCCTTACCTGAATCTCTGAGATTTTATTGGTGTAAATTTGAATTTGATTAGGGTTTGGATTTGGTTTAGTTCGTTTTAATTTTTTTTTTAATTATATCAATCCAAAATTCATTGTGGTTTGATATCAGAAGTTTGATTACTTTTTTTTTTTAGTTTTCAGACTTTTTTTACATATTTTTGGGTTGAAATATCACGGGTGAGTCGAGTGATTTCTGTAAACTGGAAAGTGAAACTGTTAATAAACACACAAAATACTTTAAAAAGATCAGGTGTACGGATTCTGCGGTAGAGCGTGCGAAGGCATCTATCAATTGGTGGTCGCATGAGCTGTTTCTGTCCTCCCACTTGTGCCTCTCACAGATACATATTGATTATTATGACTATATAAATATTTACATTCTACATATATTAGAACTAAGTGATTGTTCCACGTTCATTTACAGATATAACATTTTTAAAATAAATATATTTTAAAATTATTAGGTATTTTAGTTTTTTTTTTTTGTTATTTCTATATACTTTGTATATATAATATCTAGTTGGTTTGGTTATTTAGGTAAACTGAATTACATTTACTTTTCCAAGTTTAACTATTGATTTTTTTGGTTGACATAAACTAAAATTTTGATTAAATATTTTTTTTCATTCGGAGTTTTGATAAGCTTATGAATTTGAATTATTTAATTTACTCATTTTGTGGGTTATATTGCACATGTTTCTTCAAATTTAAGTATAAATAATTTTGATTCTATTTAAACTAAATTTGATTATTTTTCTTATTGCATTAATTTGGTTCTTCATCCTATATGTATATTTACTTTCGTATTTTTGTATGTGGATTTGTCAATAGAAGACATACTGATAAAATTTTACAACTATATATCATATATCAATAGTTATAAAATAATTCTTGTTTTTGTAACTTACAAGTAACTTTATATATTAGATATATACAATATAAATTAAAAATATTTTAAAATAATCTTAACCATAAAAATCTTGAAAAAATGACCTTAAATCTTCATGTACTGACTCCGAATAGAATTGTTTGGGATTCAAAACTAAAATAAATCATTTTATCTATTAATAGAGGACAAATGGACGATAGGTATAATATATATATATATATATATATATATATATATATATATATATATATATATATATATATATATATATATTTATATATGTATTCAGCTAAAAAAGGTCACTCCACGCTATTTAGACAAATGACCCATCTCTAACCAAAAACCATAATAGTGGTTTATGTATTCTAATTATGGGTATATTATGTTGTATAAATATTAACCGTTAAACAATTTTTAGTAGTATCAAGGTTGGGTTAAAGTTTATAGAAAATGTAAATAAAAGTTTTTACAAAAACAGTTATTTAAAAATGAATAAACATCTCAATAGCAGCAATTAAAAATATTTTTAGTTCATCAAAGGTATTTTAATATATGTTATTTAAATTAAATTTTAAATAGTCTGAAAATAGATTATAATATTTTTTTATTAATTATAACATATAAATTATGTTGTTTAGTTTCATGTATTAAAGAGATGATTATTTTTGTAACATCAAAACTGTTTTTTTGCAAACTTTTTTTATGAAATTACATTTTATATCTAATATATTTTTATTCTCATATATTTATAAAATGTATTTCATAAAATATGTTTCATTTGCTTTTTAAATTTATTTTCGTTCTTGATAAATGAATATTTTCTTTTTTTTATTATATATGTTTTTGGAAAAATATATAAAATGAAACTAAAATTAAAAATTTAATTGGCATAAATGATTAATATTTTTAATAATATTAAAAATATATATAACATTTTAATTCATTAAGTATTTTACTGTAATCAACTATGATAATAATTAATGTGAGTGCGACATGTAGAAAACTCATTTGTCAATAATATGATGGTGATTTGAATCTTCCCTTATATATAACCATTATCATATAGTCTATAAAAAGAAATTATTGGATTAAGTTGATAAAAAAAAGAAGCAGAATGAATGGATTAATAGTCTTAGAAACAAATGTGTAACTATATGTTCAAATAAACTATAAAATTTTGTTTATATATATAGATATATAAAATTTTGTTAATATTTATATTCTTAATAGACGGGTTGGACTTGCTTTATTTACAATTTACAAATTAGTAAGCATCAATGCGTAGAAACTAACGATATTAAATATCTTGCCATATTTGGAAACTTGCGACAAACAAATAATATAGTGAATCACCGCAACTCCAAGTTCCTGTCTGACACTTGCACTTGATAAATTCTATTATACTATTCATTGACACAAAAATAATTTATTCATTTGTAATTTGCAGAAAGCCATATGGACTATTTGTACTATGTATTTTGTTCAATCTATTCTCTTACTTTTTTGGGTAAATATCTTTCGTACAGATCCATTTATATATAGTTGTTTCATATGACCATAATAAGGCATAGGCCCTAAAGTTTTTCTTTATCACTTATAAAAGTAATTAAGTTAAGAAAAGCAGCTACAAAGCAAGTAGTTTTTGTCAGAGAGGCAGAGTCCTGTGATGCCAATTCACTATTCCACATGAAATCTGATAGAATACTAAAAACAAATTATATGTGTACGAAAATGTTAAAAAGGAAATATTATTGATAATGTGAATTTAACTAAATCGCTCTATAAGTTTAATATTATTTCACTTCTTTTACCCATAAATAAATATAAAATAATCAGTGGTTAAGGTAATATATATACATGCATTAAAGCTATATTTATATGCTCTCTTAACCTAGAAACATTATACAAACTTCTTTCTTTTTCGTTGTTTGCTTTTATTTATTTTCTCCCTATTTATTAAAATTACACACATATAGAATTTTGGATTAGAACTTACTACATATAAAATCTATCAAAAATGTCTCAAATTAAGATATAGAGTACAGTATGTGTGTGCATATATGTGCATATATATCTTTAGTTTATTCCTCGAATAGATTGTTGACTCTTGGCTCAAACCCTTTCTTTCTTTCTCTTTCTCCTTATTCGTTCCTTTTCTTCTTCGTTTCCCTTTTAGTTTTTGTAAGATCTACAAAAAACCCTAGAAAGAGAGGAACCCAGGGGAGGATCAATTAGAGGATAAAATTGATGGGAAGAGGGAAGATTGTGATCCAAAGGATCGATGATTCCACCAGTAGACAAGTCACTTTCTCCAAACGAAGAAAGGGTCTTATCAAGAAAGCCAAAGAGCTAGCCATTCTGTGTGACGCCGAGGTCGGTCTCATCATCTTTTCTAGCACCGGAAAGCTCTATGACTTTGCCAGCTCCAGGTTCCTCTTTTACAGTTTATTCAATCTGAAATCTTTACTCTTCTTGTTTGTATGGATATATATGGAAGTGAGTCTATACGTGTGCGTTATTTTCATTGAGATTACATCGATTCATTATTAGTGTTTTTTGTTTGCATCTTGCGGTCCGTAAAACATGTTACATTTTACTATATGTACAATAAGATGTGTATGTAAGCTGACAAAATTTTATTTTTGGTTAGAAATTATAGATTGAAAATGAGGAGAAGTTTAAAGAAGAAAGATATCTTCGAATATGAAAAGTTAATTTGAATTTTATTCTTGGCTTAATATGAGAGTGATTGTGGTAGACATCCATATGTTTGAAGGACTTCCTTAATATGTGTTTAATTAGTTACAGCCTCTTCCAAATTTTAGAAGTGTTTGAAAAGTAGATAAGATAACAAGTGAATTCTAAAACATCAGTTTTGGAAAGAGAATTATAAAAGGCCAGAAGATTGAATGATTGGTATGGAGAGGGATTTAACTGCTCAAAACCAATAAACTAGGAGCTGCTTTTATTTAATCCAATTATAAATGATCTATTTGTAATAAGAAATTCTAGATTTTTTTATGTATAGATCTATTTATTATGGTTTTGATGTAAAAAAAAGAGCTATTATTATGAGAGAACGATCAGATGACTTTGTATATTTGACACTATATATACAGGACTTGTGACCTTTATCTTTCATCAGGGTTAATCGTTTAATTGTGGCTAACAGAATGAATGTTGAGACAAATACATTAATTGACGGTTTTATATTCATGGATACATGTACCATTGTTAAGCGTACAACTTAAACATATATATTACCAGCTAGCTAATCTTAGGAAACTATTTTTTCTTATTTCTTTTGTTGATAAACTCATAGTTAACACGATTGCACATTTATCAGTTCAACAAAATAAAAAAGTCCTAAAGCGAAACGGAACTTTGATAATTTCCTTGATTATTTAGCAAAGAAAACCTTATCTTTTATACGTGAGAAATTGTCAATATCATTTTTTCTCAGGTATAATATAGCTAAGGAACCATTAGGTATGTGAAACTTATAGCATAGTTGAGTTTACAATAATTAATTAAAACTAACAGACAACTTGATATACCTTGACACATGTTATCGTTTCTTGGGTCTAGTATAAAAAATGTGCCATAGTAATGCATTCTATTTATGATCGAGCCTTGGCATTAACTTCTTCTTTGCACCCCTGATTATATTGTTTCAAAGTTCTTGCGTATACAGACCAAGAGAAAGAAAAAAACATGGAAGCAATTTTTGTAGTTTATTGAAAAAACTAATGATTATTTAGTCACTTAAGTGTAAGTGTGTTATCTATATAGCCTATTATACAACCTAAGAGCTCAATTGTCTGCATAGCACATACTAAGGATACTACACAAAAAGTCAAAGCTATGAGTTGTACGATTTCTCAATCAATTTCATGGGCACTTTCTTCAATATTCGTTACTGTGATAACTTGATATGATATGAGTGAAATATACAACATGATCAAGTTACCAATAACAAATCCTTTGAACAGCATGAAGTCAGTTATTGATAGATACAACAAGAGCAAGATCGAACAACAACAACTACTGAACCCCGCATCAGAAGTCAAGGTACATTTCTAGATAAACTTGTGCACATGTGATTAAACTGATTGAGTTTTCAGAATCGTGTATTGAAATAAAAACTGGTTTACTAAGTTCAAAGTTTATTCTATTATGTTCGCTTTGTCTAAGACGCCTTCCTATCAAAGACACCACACGAAACGATTCCATGAGCTCATGCCACTACGTTTTTGTTTTTCCTCTTGTTTTGTTTATTTTCTTTTGGCAAGGAAGATCTCAGGAGCTGGTTAAGCTTAGTTTGTATGTGTTAAATTCGGGTTTCTCCAGCTTAAAACTCATTGGTTGTAAATGTAATGGCCTTAACCATTTATATATTCCCTTTAGAACTCCTGAAGTGGGATATTTTAGGACATTTATGTCAGTTGAGAGGGTTTAGTACGACAGTTATACCCTGTCTTGGGAGGGTTATATTAATTAGAAGTTTAAGATATAAGCTTTGATATCACATTAAATTCAGATTTTTTGTGGACTTTCATCTTAAAACTAATTTGTAGTAACTAGATTAGTCTTAAACTTTTATATATTAAACGGATGTGAGATATTTTATTTTAAATAGTATGTAAATACAGATCTCTTCATTTTCAACAATTAGCTTCATGACAAAGTCTGATGACTTTACTTGTATTGTGTGTTATAGTTTTGGCAGAGAGAGGCTGCGGTTCTAAGGCAAGAATTGCATGCTTTGCAAGAAAACCATCGGTATTGCCTTGAACTACCACCACTTTGTAACACATATATCATACTAAGAAAAGAAGAAAATTATAGATTGAGATTCCATGTTTGCTATGAAGCAGACAAATAATGGGGGAGCAACTAAATGGTTTGAGCGTGAACGAGCTAAACAGTCTTGAGAATCAACTTGAGATAAGTTTGCGTGGTATTCGTACGAAAAAGGTATATACATTGATTTACTCTCTCTACCTTGTATTTGTACTTTAGAATGTGTTGCTCAAAGCAGGACTATATACATCAAAGGAATTCAATAGAATTGATTGCTTTTCCGGATTCCACAGGAACGAATGATGACCCATGAAATCCAAGAACTAAGCCAAAAGGTACTTACTTATACTCAATATATTTCTTACGCATATCAATCTAAATTCTATAAAAACTAACATAAGTTACAATTTTTTATTTTGCGATTTTCTGATGGTGGTGCAGAGGCAGCTCATTCATCAAGAGAACCTCGAGTTATCTAGAAAAGTACAACGGTTTCATCAAGAAAATGTGGAGCTCTACAAGAAGGTAACGAACATCTACACAAACTCCATTTGCTTGGAATAAACTAGAGCTTTGAGGTGATGGCTCCGCCTTTCGGTGAGTCTTGCAGGCTTACACAGCAAGCGCAAACGGGGTTATACACCGTGAACTAGCTGCCGCGGATGATGAATCCAACACCCAGATTCGACTACAACTAAGCCAACCGGAGCATTCTGATTATGAGACCCCACCAAGAGCAAGCCAATAACATCATGTGGTAAAATTTTCTAAGTTGATGTTGATGAATCAAAATTACATATTAGGCAGTCTCATATATTAATGTAACTCGTTTAAAATTTGACAGATTGATGTGTGGGAGATACCATATGCATGATGTTGAAGAATAAACGAAAGGTGGAAACAAAGAAGAAACCTAAAGAAGCCAAGCCATGATAAGCAGCATGCATGTTCCCTTATCATATTTTCTCTTGTCCGTTTCAATTGTATAACTGAAGCATATAAAATACAGAAGAAATACAAGTAAAAATTGTGTTTATTATACTCATCCTGAATATATATTGACAAAATTGGCCGTTATAACTCACATAGATAGTCTCGTTAATTAGAAAAAGAAAAGAATATTCAGAAGTTTTTAAGTTTTTCTAATCGAAATTCTCTAGAGGGAGAATTTCAATTTTACCACATTTCATGTACCACTTTTCATTTTTACCTATACTTATAGGACATTTTCATAAATACCTAAATCATTTATGGGTAAATGTCAAATCTAACCCTGAGTTTTCTTTTCTTTTCCTGTTTCTGCGTCGTCTTCTCCGGAGAAATCAAACATTCGGCGGCTACGAAATATCTCTCTCTCTCTGCTTCTGAGTTTCTCTCTCTCCCTCTGTTAATTGTTGTGGATATTGAGCTCGGTTCCTCGACAATGGCGGTTTCTCTGAGAAAACTCGTTCCTTCCTTCCAAATAATTGAGAGATGAATCGAAGTTTTAGGGCACAAGAGTCGTCGTCGTCTCTATTGCTGGATTCAGCAGAGAGGCAGAGACAACAGCTTAGGGCTTCTATGATGGCTGATAAAGATGAGGAGCTTTCTTTGTTTCTTGAGATGAGACGGCGTGAGAAAGAGCAGGATAATAGTCTCCTTCTCAACAACAACCCTCGTGAGTTCGACACTCCGTTAGGTAACATTTGTGTAACATTTGATGTCTTTTCTGATTTGGGTTTCTGATTACTTCTTGTTGGTGTTGGTTGTGTAGGTTCAAAGCCTGGAACTTCACCGGTGTTTAACCTCTCAAGTGGTGGTGGTCCGGCAGGAAGGAAGACTGGTCCTCCTGATGATTTTCTCAATTCTGAAGGGGATNTGAGTTCGACACTCCGTTAGGTAACATTTGTGTAACATTTGATGTCTTTTCTGATTTGGGTTTCTGATTACTTCTTGTTGGTGTTGGTTGTGTAGGTTCAAAGCCTGGAACTTCACCGGTGTTTAACCTCTCAAGTGGTGGTGGTCCGGCAGGAAGGAAGACTGGTCCTCCTGATGATTTTCTCAATTCTGAAGGGGATAAGAATGACTATGAATGGTTACTTCTTAACCATAGTTTTGTTGTGAAGCTAAGATATTTACATTTTGTGTCGGTGGTTATTTGAATGTGCCTTTAGCGATCTTAAGTGCAAGCGGCTTAAGTAATCTTTGTGATTGTATAATTAGTATTTGAACATATGTGAGTTTTAAGTGATATAGCTGTGGTGGTATAGTTATTAGTTGCTTTATGGTAACCCCAGATTCTTTGTGATTGTGTTGGTTCTTCGCATTTCATTGTTGTCTATAGTATGCATTGTTGATTATGGAACTCTTAGTTTGTGAGGTTTGCGTACCTGAGATAAACACTGGCATTGAATGCCTACCAGTTTGATAGCTCGCTGTTTAAAGTATTCATGTTCTTTGTGAATGTTACTAAGAAAGGATGTGGAAGTGTTAATAGTAGCGTATCTGTTATCTCTTATTGACATTCACTCTTACTTTCTTAAAAAAGTCATATCTTTCACAATCTAACTTTACTTTGTCTTTCAAAGGCTTCTGACCCCTCCAGGTACTCCTCTATTCCCTTCTCTGGAGATGGAATCACATAGGACTATGATGAGTCAGAGTGGTGATTCAAAGGGCCGCCCAGCTACATTGTCTTCTAGGGTAATAAAATTATTCNTGACATTCACTCTTACTTTCTTAAAAAAGTCATATCTTTCACAATCTAACTTTACTTTGTCTTTCAAAGGCTTCTGACCCCTCCAGGTACTCCTCTATTCCCTTCTCTGGAGATGGAATCACATAGGACTATGATGAGTCAGAGTGGTGATTCAAAGGGCCGCCCAGCTACATTGTCTTCTAGGGTAATAAAATTATTCCTTACTATTCTTACCTCTTTCTATCAAACCCTGGATTCTTAATCAACTGCTAAAAGTAGTGCCACTAGTTTTAAAGTAAAGCTTCACTAATGTATTGTTGTTACATGTAATGGATTGTCACTACCTGATTAGACCTGCAATGCATCAGTCTGATACGTTTACATCTCAAGTTCTTATGTGTTGGATGTTGTTACGTGTTAGATTGTTTCAGACTTGCACATTCAACATAAATTTCGTGTTTGTTACACACAAATTGAACAAATAAGTGCCATTATTTTTTTAATCTGTCAAGTGGTTTCTGTATCTTCATATGGTAACCTGTGATTTGTATTTGTTGTAGCTGGCGAATTCCTCATCAGAGCCTGCTGCAAGGAACCATCTAACATCTAGACAACCAACCTCATCGCCTGGATTAAGCTCTTCTAGTGGAGCAACTCGGAGACCTTCATCAGCTGTAAGTAGTTTTGTTAAACAGAAACAGGTTTGAGTTCATAAACATTGTTCTTTTCTGGATGAAGAGGCAAGTTTTTGGAAGGAAAACTTACTGTCGCAGGCTTATTTGACAACAGATTTGCAGCATATGCTGCAGTCACATGCAGTCCTTCTACATCATCAGTTCCATCTTCAGTCAGGTCCACAACATCAAACCCTGCATAAATTACAGTAGCAATTCATCAAACTTTTTTTTCACACAAAATACTCACTGTTCAGAGTTGATATTCGTGCAAGAGTCTGATGATTAACTTTTGCATAGAGATTCCCATTATTGAGAAAGAAAAATAGAAGGATTCTTTTGTATAGTTGTGGAGCCAAATCAACGATGTGTTGGCTAATACTCTCGAACGCAAGCTAAGAGGAGCTTTAAACAATGCAAAAGTTCGATCTACCATCTCTCAACTTCTTTATGGATACGTTGTTGAAGAGAAGGCATTCTTTTCTTTTTGATTCATTCAGTAGATTAATGTTTGACATAGTTTTAATATATTCAATAAACATTAGTCTGTGGTAATATATTGTAAACTACCAACAACTAGTTGGTAAACTTGTTGGTAATATGTCGTATGTATATAGTATATCCTGCAGCTTCTTGTCCAGTCATAGCATCATAGATTTTATAAATCATTTCAAGGGTTAATAAAATCATTTATATGGATTAGTAATCATATTAAGACTTTACTCATAACTTCCTTTTATTTATAAGAGTTTATAAATTAATTTATAAGAGTTCACAAAAAAATATAAGGGTTTATAAACCATTCTAATTAAGATTTTATAAATCATTTCGAGGGTCAATAAAATCATTTATATGGATTAGTAATCATATTAAGACATTACTCATAACTTCCCTTTATTTATAATAGTTTATAAATTAATTTATAAGAGTTCACAAAAAAATATAAGGGTTTATAAATCAATTTATAAGAGTTCATAAATTATTTTGTAAGAGTTTATATAATCTTAAACTCATAAAATTCAAATTCAATATATAAACATTATTAAATAACTTATCAATCTTTATAAATAAATTTATAAGCTCTTATAAATAAGTGTATACTTCTTATAAATAGTTTTGTAAACTTTTATAAATCAGTTATATGAGCCAAGATCGGAATCACCAATAGCAAGATACCATACTCGAATAAGATGATACGTCCTGCTTAACTTCTAGATTTCCCATCTCCATATGAACTCGCTCAGTTTCCCGTGGGATAACACATTTATAAATAATTTATAATGGTTTATAAAACATTCACAAGAGTTATTATGTTATATATAAAAACTTATATATCATTTACAAAGGTTTATAAGGGTCCATGAACTGATTTATGAATCTTATAAACTAAAAAGAGTTTATATTTTGATTTACAAGAGTGTTTAAATTGATTCATAAGGTTTTATAAAATGATTTATAATACTTTATAAAACATCTACTGGAGTCTATAATTTAATTAATGGTGATTCCAAGAATAGGGAAGTATTTATAAAATAGTTGTTAAGCCTTACCAAACTGGTTAATAATCATTGTTTAAGTCATTTATAAACCTTTATAAATTCTTATAAATCGAAAGTGGATTTATTAAAATTAATAAATAACCTTATAACCCCTATAACTAGTTTATATATGTGTAGATATAAAGGTTTATATATCATTTTTAGAATTTTATAAACCATTTATAAGATTTTATAATTCATTTATAAGGGTTAATAAAATCATTTGTATGGATTAAAAATCATATTAAAACATTACTCACAAGTCCCCTTTATTTATAAGAGTTTACAAAAGAATTATAAGGGTTTATAAATCAATTTATAAGAGTTAATTAGTTATTTATAAATGGTTTATAGATCTTTATAAATATTTATAAAATCATTTATAAATTATTATTAGATTTTGTAAGGCTTTATAAATTGTAAAAATTATTTTAAAGTCTTTGTAAGTGTAATTTAAGATTCATAAAGGTTCTATAAGGGTTTGTTAAATTTTTATAAGGTTTATGAAGCCATTTCTAAGAGTTAATCTATGAGAGTTTATAAATCATATAATTAGATTAATGAATTTATAAAGATTTATAAAACCAGTGTGTAGCTAATGGAGACGGTCTCAAGCACGATGATTGCACCCTAGTTACATAACAAGTTATGTAATGACATTATGATTTGATGAAAAGTAGAAACATGGGATTTTGAACTCTTTTTCTGATGAGTTCCCACTAATGCCAAATGAAAGTTTACAATAAGCGAAACATCATACAGGTTCTATCACTAAAAAGCTCAAAACAACATAAGGTTTGTTTGAGTCTTTAGTAATTTATATAAGATTTGTTAGGGTTTATAAAAGGTTTTGAAGAGTTTATATAGGGTTTATAAAAAAAAGTTTATAAATATTTATATAATTATTTATAAAGGTTTATAAAATCATTTATAAAGTTTATAAGAGCTTATAAAACCTTGTGTCAACCATCTATAAAGTTTACAAAACACATATATATCTATATAACTATTTATAAAGGTTTATAAAACTATTTAAAAGAGTGTATAAAACTATTTGCAAGAACTTATAAGCTATTTATAAGAGTTTATACATTTATTTATAAATGTTTATAAATAATTTACAAGGTTTATAAATCTATTTATAAGAGTTTATAAATCACCAAATTAACCAACTGTAGCATACATCATACATCAGTCTACATCAACCCTTTCTTCTGCATCAGTCTCCTTTAGTAGCGTGTTCCAGAATTCTCCTCACCTCCTTCGTTGTTGTAGCTCATGTCTATCACGCCATCCTCCCTGCTGAGCTCACAGTACCGTAATCTGATGCAGGTATGGACTGTCCAGAGCTAGGGGATGGCGCCTAGGCATAGAAGGGGCACTTGGTTTTCAGTTCTTGCTGGAACCCTGTATCGAGTTCAGGGTCAGGCTTCCCAGTTCCTGAGAAGTTGTATAGCCTGTCCTCAAAGAATGTGCAGTGCGTAATGCCTATGCTGTGTGCTCCTGCATTACAAACGATCACAAGAAATGAATCATATCACAAAGAGTTAACCAATACACGATCATGTGTATAGCAAAAGAATGGAGAGAGCTGTTGATAGCAAGGAAGTGAGGACTACCAAATAAGCTGACGGTTTCTCTCTCGTTGAATCCTCTAGTACCAAACCTTGCAAGAATCACCGAGATAGTAGCTTGAGGTGTAGGAAGCTCACGTTCTGCCATTTATTTTGCAGAAACTTCTCAAAGACGAGCTGAGTTTAGAGCAGATAAGCATGGAGCTTCGCTTGTTCACACTGTGGTGCCTTCTCCTCCAGTAACTGAACACATCCCTTTGCAGAAACCTGCAACTTCACAATCACAAGCTGAGATAAGCGTGGAGCCGCGCAAAGCTACTCTTGTTCACACAGTGATGCCTTCTCTGCCGGTAACTGAACCACCTATCACTTGGCAAAAGCCTGCAACTTTGCAATCACAAGCTGCTAGCACTGTGGAGCCTTTTTCACTTGAAAGATCTTGAAATGGCTGCTCGCTCTTCTTAGACTTCTCAACACACCCCGTATGAAAAGATGCACATTCTTTTGTTGACTTGGCTGTATTAGTTGATTGAATAGGCTGAGCTCCCTCATGAGTTTTCTGATACAGCTTGCCCCTACTCCGCCTGAAGCTGACCATGTTCTGAAACTTGAACATCCATTTTTAAGCATTTTAGCTGCTGCTTCCTAATGGTGACCCTTAAAGACATATTAGATACACATGGTGTGTCTTCAGCTTGTCATTGACACCTTTACGACTCCAGATAATCTGATCAATTCCACCTAAAACTGCAGCTGGTGATATCTCATCTTGACGATCATACAAGACACCAAAAACAGAACCGAGGTTGGCATTTCCATTAAGATCCAATGAGTTCTTGAAACTAGTAAAGCCTGGCTTTCCCCTCCTTTTAACCATGACTTTGAACTTGAATTTCCAATTTTTCAGATACTTTGCTTGCCTCCACTTACTATCAACCAAGAATCCAGCTTGATCAAACAAGTGATTTGCAACAAGCTCAACATCAGCATCATGTGATTCCTGAATCTATTCTTTCACCAACTCGACATCCAGAACATATACGTGTTCAACAGTTGGAGGAATCCAAACATCACTTCTCATATCACAGCATATATCACCCACCAACACTTCCTCACATGATTGCGATCTCTCTTTCTTAAGCAACATAATCTCCTTCTCCTCTACTCAAGAACAGTGATGAGGATCCATGGGAACTTTCCCGGAAAACAGGAAAACACAGAGAAAGAGAGATGAAGAAGAAAACAAACCTTTTACAATTTTTCTGATTATTTTCTAAACGACTGTCACCACTTTCCTATATAGCTCGTACTCCTCTGCTTTCTTGTGTTCCTGAAGATGACGGCTCCTCTTGGATCCACAATAATTTTTCGCCGCCGCTGAGTTGCTACGGCTTAGTCTCCCGCATTGAATCAGTATAGCCTCGAGTCTGATTCGAATCGGTTGATTTCTCCTTGGAAGCCATTGAATCCTGTGGATCTGTCTTCGTCGTTGAATCCTCCGGATCTGTCGTCGTCGTCTTGGATTATTCATGCTCCTCCGATGTTTAATTATCCAAAGGGTACAATAGTTTGAATAGTCAAGGGTACTATAGTCTTTTGCTTATCAAAATTTTTGAGTGTAAAGTTGGTTAATGTAAAAGTGAAATATGGTATCATCAAAGTGCTAGTTTTAGCAATTTCCCTCTAGAAAATATATCTCAACACTTTGAGATCTTAATTTATTACTTTAGGTTTTTTTGTGAAGAAAAAAAATGTTTACTTTAGTTACCCGATTAATTCTGCTAACGATGTATTTTTTTTATATAAATAAAATCCTTATCCTCCTCTCTATACAAAATAGGGAGAAATTTGATTTTTTTTTTCGAAGGAAAAAAATCTTATTTTTTGAAGAAAATATAAAAAAAAAAAAAAAAAGAAAAGAGGGAAAGAATTCGAAAATTTTCTGCAACCACTGAAAGCTGAGCCAAAAGCAGAGGCCACAATTCTCTCTGCCATCTCTCCACAGGATAAACCCATTTGTCTTTTTTCCTCTTTCTCTCGTTCATGCTTCAAACCTGTCTCTAGGCAGAGAGAGATTCAGCGAAAATGGCGATGGCCATGGCTCTTCGAAGACTTTCTTCTTCAGTTGACAAACCCCTTCGTCCTCTTATCAGACCCACTTCATGCTTCATGGTCAAGTTTCCACCTTTCTCTCCTATCTCATCATCATCGTATCCAGTTCTTTAAGGTTTAGGTTTCTGATTCTTGGTTCTTGTTTCGTACAGTCATCTTTGCCTAGTGAAGCTGTTGATGACAAGGAGAGATCTCGAGTCACTGTAAGCTTAAACCCTTTGATCTCCCCTTTGACCCTTTCCTTTATAATATCTTGTTGTTGATAGTTTCCTTGCGGCTGAAGCAAGGTTTATATATTTGGTTCTGACTTCTGAAGTATAATAAAAACTATGTGTGAAATGTCTCGTTTCAGTGGCCAAAACAGCTTAACGCATCTTTGGAGGAGGTTGATCCTGAGATTGCTGACATTATTGAGCATGAGAAAGCTAGACAATGGAAGGTTATTTAGTCTCTCTTAAAATATTGCTCCTTTATGAGTGAAAATTGTAAGTTGTTGCTGATCTTTGTAATTGATTACGTTAACAAAAGGGACTTGAACTCATTCCATCCGAGAATTTCACATCTGTCTCGGTGATGCAAGCTGTTGGCTCTGTGATGACTAACAAGTACAGTGAAGGGTACCCTGGTGCTAGATACTATGGAGGAAATGAGTATGTTCACACTTCACTTCTCAGACATGATTGCTTGACCAATCCCAGTGACAAGAATAGTAACCTTTTTTTTTTTGCTTTGAAGGTTCATAGACATGGCAGAAACTTTATGCCAAAAGCGTGCTCTTGAAGCTTTCAGGTTAGATCCTGAAAAGTGGGGAGGTAACTACTATCATTCCATGTATCATGACTTGTTATGATCCTTAGATTACTTATATTTGAGTCATGTGGTTATGCAGTGAATGTGCAACCTTTGTCTGGATCTCCTGCCAACTTCCATGTCTACACTGCATTGCTAAAGCCTCATGAGAGAATCATGGCACTTGATCTTCCTCATGGTGGTCATCTTTCTCATGGTTATCAGGTACCTTCAAACTTCACTTTGTACATTTTTTTGCACCTTTAAGTTTGCCATAAACCTAAATCTCCATTATCTTGTTATGAGTATACATAACAGTTTGTTTTCTCTTAACATCACCAGACTGACACCAAGAAGATATCTGCTGTATCTATCTTCTTTGAAACAATGCCTTATCGATTGGATGAGAGCACTGGCTACATCGACTATGATCAGGTTCTATATTATTCAATCAAGCATCATGGTTGTAGATGCTTAAATCTTACAATACATATGTGTCTTTGATCTTGATATGTAGATGGAGAAAAGTGCTACTCTTTTCAGGCCAAAACTGATTGTTGCTGGTGCAAGTGCGTATGCTCGGTTGTATGACTATGCCCGCATCCGAAAGGTATATTCAGTCTCACTATTCAAATAATCTCATAACAGATTATCAAGTGATTTCTGATCCAAAGCTATTTGGTAGGTGTGTAACAAGCAAAAAGCTGTGATGCTAGCAGATATGGCACACATCAGTGGTTTGGTTGCAGCAGGTGTAATCCCTTCACCGTTCGAATATGCAGATGTTGTGACCACTACAACTCACAAGTCACTTCGTGGACCTCGTGGAGCCATGATTTTCTACAGAAAGGGTGTTAAGGAAATTAACAAACAAGGGAAAGAGGTAACAAACAAAACAAAAATGATCATAAAATTTATCTACAGTCGTTTCATGCTAATTCATTTTGTTGTTCTTTGAAAGGTTTTGTATGATTTTGAAGACAAGATCAACCAAGCTGTGTTCCCTGGTCTTCAAGGTGGTCCACACAACCACACTATTACAGGGTTGGCTGTTGCTTTAAAACAGGTACAATGAATGGATTTAATGTTTGCTTATTGGATTTTTGGTTTCTTTAAGTTATTTTCAAATCATTTTTAAATGCAGGCTACTACTTCAGAGTACAAAGCATACCAAGAGCAAGTCCTGAGTAACTCTGCAAAGTTTGCTCAGGTGAGAAGAAAAAGAACTTTATATGTATATTATTTCTTGTTGATTTTGATCTCTAAAAAACGTTTAATTGTTGTCTGGTGCAGACTCTGATGGAGAAAGGTTATGAACTTGTCTCTGGTGGAACTGACAACCATCTGGTTCTAGTGAACCTGAAGCCCAAGGTCACTTGATCTTTTACTTATTTATATAGTCTTCTTACTTAAAACTCCTTTTTTTTATTTAATTCGATTTTTGGTTTGCAGGGAATTGATGGATCTAGAGTTGAGAAAGTGTTGGAAGCTGTTCACATTGCATCCAACAAAAACACTGTTCCTGGAGATGTTTCTGCCATGGTTCCTGGTGGAATCAGAATGGGTAGGAATCATAGTTAGCTAGGTTTTAGTTTTGGTTCTTGAATGGAAATTTTCACACCAATTTATTTTTCAGGTACACCTGCTCTCACTTCCAGAGGCTTTGTTGAGGAAGACTTTGCTAAAGTAGCTGAATACTTTGACAAAGCTGTAAAGTTGGCTCTCAAAGTCAAATCTGAAGCTCAAGGTTCCTCTTTCTCTTATCTCTGATTCTATGTTTTTCTCTCTTGTAAAAAATGCTTGAGCTTATTTAACTTGTTGTGTTCTGAAAACTAGGAACCAAGCTGAAAGATTTTGTGTCAGCAATGGAAGCTTCTTCAACCATTCAATCAGAGATTGCCAAGCTGCGCCATGAAGTTGAGGAATTTGCTAAACAGTTTCCAACAATTGGGTTTGAGAAAGAAACCATGAAGTACAAGAACTGATAAATGTCTGAGAAAGAAACAGTTTCTTATTAATTACGCTTTGAACTTCCATGGAATGTATAGATGATGATGATGATACATGTGCTCTATCTTATGCTATGAGAAAAATAATGAACGTTCTATGCAAATCTTTGGGCAACCTCTAAATACAGAAAAAAGATTTAACAAATACAATAATTCAACATGTAACTTCTCAATAAATCTTGTTTGCATCTCAAGTGACTTAAGATTAACCACAAAACCATAAGAAAACAAAAATAGAATGGGAACAAAAATGAAAATGGTGAAAAGCTCATCTATAAGGTGTGGCCATATCTCAATCTCATGAAATCTCTTGGTTCAGTAACCAGACATCTCACAACATAACTCTTCTTCCTTTTCTCACAATTTTCAGACAAGGAAAAAAAATGGTTGGATCATTCTCTTACACTGCCTGCCCTAAGCTTTCTCTATTACAGCCTCCCATGGCTGCTCAAATCCGACCATTTAGAACATCACAAAAGGCTTTCGTGGTGACAAACTCTGAGCAAGACAACACACTCGAGGAACAAGACATACAGACAGTAAAAGAAGAGCAACCAGCAGAGAAGCAGATGAAGAAGCAGCCAACGCCATTGAGACCAGTGGAGAAACAAACGAATGTGAAAAGCACAGGCATGACAAGAGAGTTTGGTGGCCAGTGGCTAAGCAGTGTCACGCGCCACGTCAGGATATACGCTGCTTATATCGATCCAGACACTTGTGAGTTTGACCAGACGCAGATGGATAAACTCACTTTGATTCTTGATCCAACTGAAGAGTTTGTGTGGGAGGATGAAAGCTGTAACAAGGTTTATTCTTATTTTCAAGAACTCGTGGATCACTATGAGGTAACAATATTCTCAAAAATTATCATTTACTTGACATTATTAGATTTTGGAAGAGAGATTGATATTGAATATGGTTTTTTCTAATAGGGAGATAGAAGAGGTAGACTTATTATTTATTTATTTTGGACAGGGAGCACCACTGACAGAGTATACACTAAGATTGATAGGATCAGACGTAGAGCATTACATAAGGAAGATGCTGTTTGATGGAGAGATACAATACAATATGGATGCAAGAGTTCTTAATTTCAGTATGGGCAAGCCTCGTGTTCAATTCAACACTAGCAACATTGAAGGTGGTGGAGATGGCCAGCCTCAAGAAGACGCGTAGTGAAAATAAGTATATACTAAAGCTATGGACAAATGAGACATCAAAAATATGTAATATTTTGTATATTTGTTCATGAAATGGTTTGTCAGTTTCTCTTGTTAAATCTTAAAAGTAACATATGTACATTCCTTCTGCTTTGATTGGAGAAGCTTTAGCAGTTCGTCTGGCTCTCTCTCACGCCCTAGCGTTGGATTTCAACAAAGTTTGCGTTTTTTCAAACTGTCAATTGCTTGTTAGAGCAATCTTTTCTGAAGTCACCACCGGTCACTTTTTTCGATAGCAGGACTCTACGGAATAGCCCGAGACATTGAAATCCTATCCTCCTTGTTAGATTGTTGTTCTTTCTCTTTTATTTCTCGATCTCAAAACTCCGAGACTGACTTGTTGACTAAGTCGGCTCTCTGTAATGTTAAACATCCCACATGATAACCTTCTTGTGATGCTAGTTTTTAATATGTGTTTTGTGTTCGAAAAAAGATATGGTCGTATGCTAGGTTTTAGTTATTAATCCGCACAACCATAACATTATATTATAACCGACAATTTAAATTTGCTGAAGAACTTTTATAAACTACACAATTATTAGACAAATCACTGGACTAATGGAATTTCCACATCTAATCTATTATATTAAAAGAGAAGTCATTACTCACTTCATGTGTGATTTTTTTGTTTGGATCATCCTTAGAAATTTTATAAAATTTTACATAACATCATTATAATATCTTTTTATATCTTTAATTTTTATTTGAAATACAAATAAATAGTTTTAAAAAAATTCTAACAAATTCTTTTTAAAATCTTTTAGAATCTTTTCAAGATATAGTTGCAAAAATTATTTGATTAAATTTTAATTATCATAAAATACAATTAAAATTAATTCATTTTTATTTATAAACAAAAAATTAAAATTATGTAAAATACTTTTAACAATATCCCAAAATTTTGTTTATGTATTATGTAGGTCCAACTTAATTTACTTTACATATATTTCCAATTTAGAAATAAAACAAAATATATAAATTAATAATAATACATAATAATGTTTTTAAAAATTGTTACATAAATAAAAATTTATAAATTTTAAATTAATAATATTATTAGCCACATAAATATTATTATAAAATTGGATAGTATACAACATCAAATTATATTTATTTATGGATAAATTTTACTCCCTCCGTTTTTTAATATATGAGATTTTGGATCATTGCAAAAAGATTAAAAATTTTACATTCTTTTACAAAAGTATTTTTAAATATATAATTTTAAAATCCTTCAACCAATTTTTAAAAAGACAGTAAAATTGTTTTTTTAAACAGATTCTAATAAAGTTAAAAGTAACCTTAAAACCTCAAAATATACCTTAAAATCTCAAAACAACTTATATTTTGAAACAAAATAAATCTTTTAAAACATCATCTAATTTAAAACGGAAAGAGTATTATATAATTTCAAATATTTTCGTTAAAATACCCGCACGGTTGTGCGGGTCGAGATCTAGTTCAATAGTTAAAAGAGGGTAAACTCAACTCTATGTACGATTCGTTGATGTTATAACCTATAAAGTTACGACTTATGTCTGACGAAGCATTAGACTAACATGATAATTGATTGTATCTCCTTTAACTGTGTGTGGTCTCTATGGCTTTGAGGAAGCTAATTATACTTAGCCATAAAAAAAGTTCTTGAAATCAAATAAGTACTTGAAACATTTTATTGAAACACAACGTATTTTCACTAAAAACTCAACTTTTCAAAACGTAATTAAAAAAAAAATATATATATATATATATATATACTAGGATCGGCCCGCCCTATAGACGGGATATATTTTACTTATGGTTTAGGTTATTATTTTTTATATAATTTTATGGTCGGTGTTTTAGGTTCACATTTGTGAGAAGTGTGTATGAGATATACTATTTAACAATTTAAGTTGTTATTTAGTTTGTTTATAAGTAATTTTTGTTTTGACTTTTTGCTTTTATGACATTACCATGATTGAATTATTATGTCATTTTCAATTGAATAATTTGCATCTAATAACTTATGTATATGACTCTTTCTGAGGTTTTTTCAGCGACTAAAGCCTTTGCATAACTTTCTAAAATGAAAATATCAATTTTGGTGAAACTGGCAATATAAACATTAGTTATCCCATTGGATTGGAAATGGTGTTCATGGGTTGGGAATGTTGTTTCTGATGTTCATCGGTCTTATTTTTTAAGTTTACTGTTAACTGATACTTAGTTTTGGTCAAATAAGCTCGATTGTATGTTAGGAACAACTATTAACATCTCTGAACCATGATATTTCTTACTTGATCTTTACTCTTAAACATATAATTTCAGAATCTTGGAAAAGAAATTCATAATTGTTTCTATGTTCCATTCAAGATCAGCTACCAAAATATTTTTGTTGTCAATATTTGGAAGATCCATTGGTAGAATATGGTACTATTTGTATTTTCATAACCGTAATATTAAAACTTTTACATGTGCAGAGATTTTAAATCTATTTATATAGCGTAAACTATATATTTATTTTGCACTGTAGTGGATATAATTTAAGCTATTTATAAATAAAGATTCACAGACTGAAAGCAAAAGAGGATGAAATAAATGTGAAAACGTTGAAGTAATGGGGAGATGGAGTTAATTGGGAGGTTAATGAGAATGAATGATTGCATATGAGATCTTTAACGTTCCAAGCTCTCTAAAGTAAATGAGGAGTTACTCAAACTAAGACCAACAGTCGTTTCCACCAGAGATTGGCCGGATTTCCAACAACCGCAACCGAGCCGGATCCTCCTTGGTCGTTTGGTTAATCACATACTTAACACAATGTTCTTTAGTCCTAAAAGAAGCCCAAAACAATTATTTATATGAAAACTCAACAATAATATTATCGAAAGAGTAAAATGTAATTTCAAACCGACACATGTCATCAGCTTAAGAGACTAATTAGTGACATGGCAATCTTACATGAGAGAAAAATCTACTTTATATAATAAGATATTTATATATTCAATTTCATATTTATTTTTAATGTAATATATAGATATACTAGAGTCGGCCCGGGTTACGCCCAAGTTTTTTGTTGAAACTTTAATTATATATGTTGTATATTATTTTGATATATAAATATTATAACCTATTATAAAATATAAGTAGCTAGACAATCATATGATTATTTTAATTTTTTTTTTCTTTCGAATTTCAAAAATTTTAATATCCAAATTTTGTATGTCATAGATTATCAATATGTGTTCTGCGTAGAATTATTGTGTATTGTGGCTCGTCTCGAATTTGTTTCTTTATTTGTTTTGTGTTATTATTTTAATTTAAATTTTTTTTTGTAAAATATTGTTTCATTATTTATTACTTATTGTATACTGTTTGAATCTTTTTATGATAATTTTTTAAAATTTGATCTTTTTTACCTAAAACGGAAGGAAAATTTAGTGTCTGAATTTTTTTTCCTTAGGTTTGATGAAACGTAAAGGAAAACAATATGATAATAGATTTTTCGTCTTTCCAAACTTATAAACTTCTTTATTTATTTTGAATATGTTTAAGTATTATGTAACTTTTACTTATTTATTAAATCTTTATTAAACCACTCATTAAACACATGAAAAAACTTTTCATTAAACTCAAGCTATATTACATAGCATAATTAAATTTTAATTAGGCTATTTTTATATCTTATTAGTTCTTATTTTTTAAATTATTTTCATTATGTATTAATTGTTAATTATTTTTATATTTTTTTTGTATTCTAGGTTAACCTTAAATTTGGTAGTAAAAAGGGAACCAAAAATCTGTGTGATTTCGTATTTTTATTTTTGTTAGTATAAATCTAATGAAATGTATAAAAATTAATAGCATAAACTGATTTATCCTCTTTCTCATGAATTTTATTTTATTATACTTATAAATTTATTTGTTTTAATTATATTATATATTTTCACTAAATGATTATTTTTAATTATATTTATAATAATTTTATTTGTTTAGTTATATTATATATTTTCACTAATTGATTATTTTAAAAAAAAAAAGATTAATGTAATTTGATTGGATTCAGTTAAATAAAATATTAATTATTATGATTTAGAAGTTATTAAATTGTTTAAAAGTTTCGGTGGTTGTATTTAGAGTTCACTTCATGTTTGTTTAGGACATGTTATACGGATCAGTGTGATATACTTGTGTATTTTTGCAAGTTCTAATCGCGAGCCTATGGTATTATGTGCTATTTTTTCTCCAACTTATTCTTAAAAACTATCAGTCAAGTGGAAAGATATTTACTCCCATTTATTTTTTATTACTGTTTCAAAATAGATAAACGCATAGTCCTCGTTGTGCTAGATATAATGAACGTAACAATATTTTCTTATTTTTCTTCTCTTTTTCATTTTATTTTTCTTATTCAATTTGATCGGAAAAAACTGTGAGATCTTAGCGGCCACTGAAGTGGTGTTATGAGGTGAAAAATTCAGAGGCAAGATGGTGTTAAGCTAATGACATATTATTTTGTCAGGATATACGCCTAAATATTTAGATTTATTTTGTCTTCATCTTGTGTGTATTCGTTTCAAGATAATTAATTGTTATTTAGTGTTTATTTTGTCTATAGTAAAATGAATGACATGTTCACTTAAACATTTCACCATCTCTATCAAAATTTGATGCATTTCTATTTTGGACATTTTTATTTTTATCTACTGTCAGACATATATTGAAATATTATATTATTTTAGTATTATAATATTTTATGTTTTGTTTGTTTTTCATAAAAGCACATAGTTTGATTATTTTTTATACGCAGTAATTGATATAAGTTCAGTGTGTATACAATATCATTTTTAATAACAACATACAATATAACTTATGCGGGAATCATTGTATTTGTGTTTGATGTGTTTATTCCTTTTGATTTAGTTTGTATTCTTTTTTTTTCATGTATATTTAATGCATATTAATTACTAATGTGGTACTATTAAAAATCTAGTGACACACTCACATAATATATATATATATTCAAATTTAGTGAATATCTGATTTTTTAATTTATTGAAAATAAGAATAACATTAAATTTTATCATTTATATTTTTTATTTTATTATATAAGTAATTTCTAACATTTGTCAATGTTGATAAAAGAAAATATCTAAAAATATAAATTATGCATTATTTTCAGC